GTTGACCTAAATGCCTTTGATTGCTTTGGTATTTTTAAGTACCAAATAATTGCACTAGATACTGCATGTGTGTGCGTACATGTAGAATGGATGTGTGGTGTCCCTTGAACAAGAAGACAAGGATTGTCAAAGAAGTTCATTTAAGGAAGAGCTGTCAGGAAGATATGAAAGAAAAAAATAAACCCCTCTTGAAGGGAGGGACAGTTTCAAAGGTTTAGTGAGTTCTATCATAGCTGGTTAAAAATACACTGACAGGATGTCTTCAGTATCAAACAGGTAATTACAAATCTAGTCTGGTTGCAGCTACAAGATAGACTCTGAACTCCATTAACCACAGTGGAGGTGTTGATAAAACAATGATGGCAGCTTCATTATGCCATTATTATCAATCGATGTGTCACTTGTAAACATCTTCTCAGTCTGGCAATCGCCATCACAGACATACAGTGAACTTCACTCACGTGTGTTGATCTTCTGTAGGGAGATGTGTTTCTCTAGCTGGCGTCGAAGTTTGACCTCAGCGCCGTACTTCCCCGTGGTGCCGTTGTCTGCCAGGATGAAGTGGGAGTGGAGACTGTTTAGAACTGTTAGCTTGCTCATTGGGTTGGACATGGTCTGATACGGACGCACCACCTAGCAAGGGAACATAGAATTTAATAATTACACTAACATCTGTGAAGCGCACAGCTGACAGCTGTGTGCAGACACTTGATAATGGAGAAATGTTTGGTTTAATGATAACAAAGGGCATGTTGTCTTAAAACTATTAATGTAACCTAAATGTTGGAAAAAAAATATTTGGCAAACATTACAGTTTTCTCTACTGCACAAGAGTTTTATTTAAAGGAAAGTGGCACTGATTTTATATCTCATGTTCAATTTATTTTTCATGGGGTGCACTACCTGGCCTCAGAAAACAGCTGCATAACATCATCTGTGGCTCTGGAGGAAGCTTTTTCTAAAGTTTGAAAAATTAACCTTAAGGTTGCCATCAGGGAATGTTTGAATTCAGCCTTGAGGATACGTGTTTTAATGTAAAGCCTATGCTTCGAACTGGGAATAGAATTTGAAAGGCATAAGTATTTACCAAACAAAGAAAAACTAATAAAGAGTAACAACTGGTTGCATCTTGTAAAATGTACAGTGGTACAAACATTTTGGATTCTGACCTACAGTATACTAAGGACTACGAATTTATTGTTTTCATACTTGATCAGTTGCAAATGTATGCCCAATGATGAGATACATTTCTGAGAAACTTTCATTACTGCCATATAAATTGCGGTCCAGTTCTTTGCTTAATTAAATAATTTTAACTGCAGTTTACAGGTTTTGGCAACTGTGGACTGCATGTGACATTTCTCACAACTCTGAAACTGTTTTCATTGTTACATTACTGTTTTGTTTGTTTGTTCTCAGAGACGTACATCTTTGCCAACAAGATCCTCCTGATTTTCTACGATGCCCCAAGGAGCAATTCCAATGGTGCAGATCTTCCCCCTTGATTTGGAGGCGTGGTCCTTCAGTGCATCACCTACATGGCGAATCACACCTGGGTGTGTGTGTGAGAGAGAGAGAGAAGGAGAAAGAAACAGAAAAGAAAAAAGTTTTGTCATGATCTATTTATAGCCTCAACTTAGATAATGATGCACTCTGTGAGAGATAAACAGAATCTATTAGGCAGTATGACAGCCAATGTGAAAACACACACACACAGCTACAAACACAGACAGGTCATAGCTCCAAGCCTCTAGCTGTTGTCCTCAGGGGAACAGCAGTCAAACCTGAAGGCCATCATATTCCATCTCTCCTACTGACATTCTTCATCCTCTGCCCTCAGCTGTCCCTCCAGTCCATCCCTCTGTCCATTATTTAGGCCACTCTCTTTCTCTTTCTTTTCTCTGCACCCATTCTGTCACTAAATCTTACATTCTATTCATTTCTGTAGTCTACACCATTCAGTGCTGTCTGTATCATTTCTTTCTATCTGGTCTTATCTCTTCCAAACACATTACTGGTACATTTTTTTGCTATTTTAACCCTGATAAATTCAACTTAGGTTACTAAAAATACTTCTTACTGTGTCCTTGAAACAATACGAGAACAGTGCAGTGAACAGAATCAATAAAAATTCCAATATCAACACTATAGTGAGGTTAAAACTAAGAAACCAATGTGCACTCCATACCATTGCAGTACATAAAAACATAGTTTTGCAACACACATTAATTTTAATATCAGTACATGGTAATCATTCAAAGATTCAAGATTCAAAGTGTTTATTGTCATGTTCACAATAAGGAAACGCATTTCCCTGTACAATGAAATTCTTACTCTCTGGAACTGTTTTTCTTTTACACTTTTAACCTTCTACCCTCTTTGTTCCAGATTCAATGTTCTGAGTGCCTTTAATATCCTTCTTCTGATCAAATTCATCCTTAGGAAGAGATGTCCTTAGTCTTAAGCCAGTCTTCTCCAGAACCTTGATTTGTTTAGGCTCCAACAAGAAAATTTTAGGGTGGCACCACTCCTAAAAAATTCTACGTTCATGACAGGCCCTAATTGTTCCTTATACAATAATAATTTTTCACAGTTTTTGGTCAAAAAGTGTTCCCTGATTAAAATACACCTTACATAATCAAATACAGTTTTTGATGAGACATTCTTTCTTTGACTTCCAACTACAAACATAGGCAGTCAAGACTCTCCCACACTATTTTTATTCAACACATGAAGTGGTAATTGAGAATTGTCACTTGCAGTGATCCAGTGGTTCAGCTTTATACCCTGATAAGCATGTTTAATGGCTATCTAACTGCTGAAAACTCATGAGGAACATTTGAATATGCTCATCATACTCCTGCTGTAGCAAATATTGGCCACTCACTGTGTATAATAAGTAGGATGCAGAATACAAAAAAGGTCCACCGTGATTATATAAATAAAATGCAGTATTTTTTACAATACACAAAAAATCTAACAGCAACTGTTTCACATGCAGGACCAATTTTAAATTTGTCTTTAAAATAAACTTGTACTGCACTTTACCTGTGTTGACCCCTCCAGTGAATATCCAGGCGCCTGTTGTCATGGCAGCTTTGATGAGCCCTTTGCCAAAGACCTGCTTGAGTTTGGGTTGTAATTCAAAGTTCTGAAGACCCCCGTGGACTGAGATTAGCAGCCCCCCCCCCCTGCCACTCCTTGGTCATCAGGTGAAGCAGCAGGTCAGGCTTGGTGTCATAAGACACTCGGACATACTGCAAACAACAGGAAATGTGTCTGTAAATATACGGCAGCACATCTGCTTCACCCTCAGGCATATGGTAACCGACATAAGCATACAAACTGGTATGCACATACAGTACATACAGTAAACAAACTGTATGTGTACACACTTCATGAGACATTAAGGCTATAGTAGAACTACAGTACTGACTGCAGTACTGGCTGTAGTGCAGTACAAGTATTGAAAAGACTGTTGTTTTGATCATGTGTATTATGGAGCATCTGTTAATGTATCTAACTCACACTGAGACACCTAAGCTGACATGTGTCTGAATTAATATTTTATTATATTCAGCAGATTCTTATCTTCTACTATTATTCTGTAGCCCACTTTACTCATTGCTGCTGTAAAGCCTGATTTTGATGTTTTTCTTGATGCCACAGTGACAAACACAAACGTTTGAACTCCATCACAGGTCAAAACCAGGGGTCACAAGTTCACTGCTTGCTGTTTGTCTTGTTTCTTTTGAACTGTATATTTGGACAACTACTGTGAGGGTGATTGGTACTAGCTTGCTTTGACATGCTGAAGCAAAGTTTCTGGAGGGCACTGACATGACAGTCACATTGAAATGCAACACAATAGATTTGTTATGGGAGTCACCATGGCTTTGTTAGAATGTCCTCCTCCCTGGAACTCAATGGTGCCGAAGGCATCAGTGGGGCTGAGCTGCGTGTGTTTGCTGATCGACCACTTCTCCAACAGACTGTTATTCTTGGCCAAACGCTCTGCCTTATCATTATGACTGGACGAGATGCCTGGGGGCAGACCCACATGCTGACCTATCAGACGACCACAACAGCACCTGGATGAGAGGAGAAAGTAACAGTAAATGTAAGACTGGCATATTACACAGTCCTTTACAGAGAATAATTGGAATCTCGAGAAGTCTGAGCCCCAAGCAAAGGTATTGTAGCATCAAGAAGAAGAAAGGGAAGGTGAGAGAGAAACTGTGTGTGACTGAAAGAAGGAGAGAAAGCCTGTCAGAGCTGCCATAGTCATGTGGCAGCTGAAGGGCAAGGCTGAAGTGACAGCTCGTCATCTGACTTTCATCTCCTGATTGGAAGGAGAGGAGGAGAAGGATTTGTAGGTCCCGGCAATCTTTTACTGGCTCTGTCTCTCTCTGCTCTTCACAAGCCTGTGTCAGTCTCTCTCTCTTGTTCTCCTCGCCTCCTTCTTCTAAAGAACCACAGAGGTTAGCAGAATATATCTGAATTGTACGTGAGAACATACTTATTCAAAAGTACTGAATGCAGCTTTCATATTCCACATTTTAACCTCACAGGATGGAACGGGAGCCCTGGGAGAAAAGGGAGTCAGAACCCTTTGATTATCACATCTTGTTTCTGTCATCTCTTACCAAAGGTACTTTGCCTTCCTCTGCCTTATACTGTATGTCAACACAAGTGCTTTTGAAAAATCTGATTTGATCTTAGGGAACATCTGTTTCCCTCCTCTTGCTCCTGGCTTCCACCTATTTTCCTCTAGTTATGCTAATTCTGTTTACCTAACAGACAGTAACATTTCTTGTGTGAAGCATGAGTGTGTACGAGGTCCAGCACCCGAAGCTACAACATCAGCTGTTGTAGGGATTTTGATAAGTTCACTGTGACAGTGATTTTGCAGCACAAAATGGGCAGAACACAGAGTGGAGATAGTGAGTGTCCCATTCAAAACTATGTTTTCTCTTCTTGAAAAGTGCTTTTCATTGTAATTGTATTTATAGCGTTAACATTATACAGACTGTGCTACACTTTGCTACTGAAAGTGGATAAGAAATATCCTTCTGTGGGCTCTGTCTTGATGCTTAAATGAATAACCTTTAACAGTGATGTGGAATATCTATGTGTTTCTCTGTCTGCCTGTTTTACTGTCTTTGTGAACTGGCCTGGCCCTGAAATGTCACCTGAGCAGCCAAACTTTGTTTTAAAATGTATAATGTCAGTACTTTGGCTCATTAGAGCATCTAACTGTGATACTCTATTACTATGAGGCACGTTTTAAAAGGGTCAACAGTAAAACAGGGCCCTTCATCTGCTACAGTATATCTGAGGTGGGTTATTACATTAGCTACAGTAACTCACTCATTAGGGTCTTGGACAGTAGTTTTACAGTAGTTCAGTCCTTAATGTTTTGAGTTCTTTAAACAAAGAAAATATCAAACTTTAGCATACATTTTTTATCTCGTCTTTTTAACAAAACAAATGGCCGGAATTAATATTATAATTTACATGTACACACAATAATGAAATGCAATGAGAATTCTCCAGTTTGCTTTATATACTTTTGTACTCACCTATGGGGGTCTTTGGCGCTCACTATGATATGGACACATTCTCTCTTGCTGAATGCTCGCTCTATCCATGACTTCTGTGCCTGCAGAAATGTAGGAGGAAAGACAATCAGATAAAGGAGCTGTGACCTGAATGACGACAGACGACAGAATCAGGGTCATAGCATGACTATGCTTGTGCTTGATGGGGTCAGAGGGTTGTACATCATGTAAATGTTGGCAATGTCCAAGAGATGATTGAGAGACTTAACCCCATATCCCCCTGAACTCGAGTAATCCATAACTTCTTTTAAGTAGCTGTCATCAGGCTCAGCTTCACATGCAAAAAAATCTATTTCATGGTTGGTCAACATCAGACAGGGTCTTCTGCAGGACTGGTTGTGACTTGAGAGGCTCCTTCAGACACTTTCACCCTATACCCTTACTTCTCCATCATTTTTTTATTTGTTTGGCTACTATACAATATGTACCTGTCAGTGCACATACATCAAATCACATTCCATGCTCAGATATAATAATTTTAGTGTTAACCATAATTCTGTTTCCGGGTTGCAAGCGAGAGCAGACGTCTTTACTGCTCCTCTTGTCTGTTCTACAATTTTTCACATCTTCTACATTTTCAAGTCTTTGAACAAATTCTACAACTATTAAAATGCCTCCAAGAGGGAAAAGAGCTAATAAATCAGAAGCGAACGAGGATGTTGAAGCAGAAGAGGATTATATTTCAGCGGCGCAAGTAACAGAGGTGTTGAGTCAGCAGAAGCAGATGTACACCGCACTGTTGAGCCAACAAGACAACTTCAAAGGTTTTGTGCAACTACTTATGGAGACAAATAACAAGAGACTCGACG